TAGCATAAAAGTCACAGAAAGCCTTAGTTGCAAAAGGAAGACTTGGACTGCAAGACTTGCCTTGCCAAAGTGATCTTTACAATAAATCTGTAAACCAATCAATTTCTTTTTCTTGTTGGTTATGCTGTTCACTTACTGCAAACACCTCATTAAATGGCCAAGTAGAGAGTGGTCATAAACCAGAAGAGGGGTCATAAGCAGAACAAGAAGGGAAAAAAATAGGGCGTTTTTTACCCTTTTTTATCAAAATATATAAGCTTATTAAGCTTCCCTGATAAATTTTTTCACACTTTAATGTTCCAGAGAAAAAGCTAGTTTACTCACAAACACACATCAGGAAGAAAATGTATTCTAATAAAAATGTAGACAGCAGTAACAGTCATTCCCCATCTGTGAAAATTTGAGAGACACTAGTGTGGCCTCTCTCTCTACCTACAGGTCAAAATGAAAATCAGACCTGAACATAAAGGGATTCTGCAAAATTAAAACAGGCTTTATGAATGCAACATACTGTCAATGCCAATTGCATTATTTTTTTTTTTAGTTTTTGTAAACCTGGAAAGAAAACATAATATAATGATTTGCTTCTCTTATTCTCTCCCTCCCTCACTTCCTTTAAAAGTTGGAAAAGTAATTATTAAAACTTCAGATGAATCCCAAGTTTGCTCATCCATAATGTCTTTATTGTTTCCTGGCTCTTTGAATGTCAATGAGTATATACCTCAAAATTACTCCTGTCAATTATGAAGGTCCTTATCTTAGTATTGATTTTTACATGCACAAATCAATAGCAGGATATGGCACAATAATTAATATTGGGAAACTGAATTGCTTTTTTTCCCAGGCACTTAAGAGTTAGCCACAGAAATGTTCCCCTTTGATACTGTATTTTTAGATCTATCCCATTTTGTTTTTGTTTCTATGACAAATCCTATCACATCACAACACTAAATATTTTTAACTCATCCTATAGAATTTGGAACCTACATTTTGTAAACAAGGTCAATGCCTGAGTAGTTAGAAGCAAACTCTATTATACAAAAATATTTTAAATGTGATTACTTTTTTTGTTGTTCAGACCCTTGCCACGTACTTTCTCCCATATATTCTGAAATAAACATGTGACGTCAATCAAATAATTTGTTTTTCAATAAATATTACTATGTGCCCAGCATTGTGTGAAGCACTGGGAAAACAAGAACAAGCAAGGTATTTTTTCCCTTTAAACTTCACAACCCATTATGTGGAATGAGACAGGCATAATGAACACATTGAGGCTATAAAATAAGATGCAAGTGTGGCGTGCAGTGTGGGTAGAAGCTTTTTTTCAGTAGGCATTGCAGCTGGCTCATACCCACCTGAGAACTAAATGTAATATTTCTCTTCCCAACTGTGTTCAGTGACAATGGGATTGAGAAACAGGGTATGGTGGAGTACTTACATCATGAGAACAGGCAAATGCTATAGGTCAGATCCCCACCTCCTCACCCTCCTAGAGAACCAATTGTTAGGCATTTACTCAGACTGCTGTCCTTAACCCTTTCTGGGGTATTAAGGAAAGGTAGGGGCTAAATAGAGAGACTGAACTTAAAATCACTTTTTCAGCCTAGATACCATAGTACAAATGAAAAAAAGGCTTTTATAAACCCCATTTGTGTTTATGAATAGTCATTTAACAAGTGGGAATGTGGTCAATCGTTTGAAAAAACATAGCTGGTTAACTTTAAGTCTTTGGACAGCTGGTCACACTGGCCAAGAAACAGTGTAAAGTGGCCATCTATATGAATAAATATATGTAATAAGGACATATCCACCAAGTAAGTTACCTCACTTGGTTAATTTCTATTACAGCATCATCAAAAGATGTCAGAAATATCTCCTAGTGCTTTCAAGGTTGTATAACAACATGGAAGTTTGAAATGTGTGGGGATTGTCAAAATAAACCTTAGCAATATTATTTTGCCTTTGAATATGTATGGTTAGGTACTTAGATAGCTGAATGATTGTTCAAAGCCACACAAAGTACCCATTAGGATAGAAAATCAAGTAGAGGTTGATAAATGATAAACCTCTGCATTTGCCATAGGTCAAAAGTCACAGACTTTCCTTTGCATCCTAACAGCCAGAATGAAAGCATTTTACCATGGTGATAGGCTCCATTTGCTTAGAAACTTCAGCCTGTGATCTTATCCAAGCCACCAAGTTCTTATTAATTTTTATGTTTTTATAGCAAACATGGTTAATACAGAAAATTTCAAAAAGATATTTCAAAAACAGTAAATAAAACAGGAGTAAAAGCCTGTCACCCCACACCATCCTAATTGACATTACAGTGTATTTCTATACATGCCTCTGTGTATTTATATACCTATATATATTATACTTTTATAGATAGATCACACAGTAGATTTTGAAATGAAATGTTTTTTTTATATTGTATCTTTCTGTATTTCTCTATTAGTATCTAGTTCAACAATCCCTTATATTGGACATATAAATATCTTTCTGTATTTCTCTATTAGTATCTAGTTCAACAATCCCTTATATTGGACATATAAATTATTTCTAATTTTTCTCATAAATAATATACAATTATCACCCATATATTAATCCTCACATGATGATTCATAATTAATCCCTTAGAATAAATTCTTAAAAGAAATAATTTAAGGTCAAGAGTAAAAGATTTTTATATTTGTTGACAAATATCATCAAATTATTGTCCCACAAAAATTATACCAATATTCACCTCTCCCATAATTTCAGGAAGTACCATTTCCTTCTATTTACTTAAAACTGCAACTTATTTTTCTTTCCTTGTGATGATTGAATAATCCCATCTTACTTTAATTTATATTCCTTTGATCATAAAATAAGTTAAGATTTTTATAAGCTTACAAATCAATAAGCTTATCAGTCTGTTGAAATTCTTTGGGAATTTCCTGTTCATTTAATCAATACCTCAATCAATTTTTATGGGGGAAGAATAAGACTTTTTTATGCCATAAATGTAAGAATTCTTTTGTCTATATGTTATAAATAATTCCTCAACGAGACATTTTAATAACTTTTAGGGTCAGTACTGTTACCATATTGCTTTCTTTATGATACTTGCATATCTTACAACAAATCAATTTGTTTTCATTATCCCCAGGATGGAATCACCCTCTCAAATTACATATGTTATTAATCCTAATAACCATGATGATCATTGTGTTAACATATTCATATATAATTTATAAAGTGCAGGTGAGTATTTAGTAGTGTTATGCTCCTGGTATGTTTCTATATATCATAGAACTTATCATAAACTAAATAAATTTTGTTATACTTAAGAAAAAATAAAATTAGCATACAACCATATAGTCTTGCTACTCTATAGAGGAGGAACTGGAGACACAGGAAAGCTATCCGTTTGGCTCAAATTTACAGAGAGTAATTTCTTCTGACACCTAAACCAATATTTTTTCTATTCTTTTCTCTACCACATGACAGTTCACCAACTGGACCCAATCTGTATTCTGGGTATTATTTATAATTTCTCATGATGAACAATTCTGATCACCCATCAGAATGACTAATGCTCTCATGCCATTTTTGTTTTTAGTGACCCATTCAACTGTGGCCAGCCCAGTGGTCATGCTCTGTCACTACTTCACCACACATACATCTACCATCCATTTATTAAGATCATCTAAAGTTCAAACATTTTTATAGAACTTTTCCCTGATTCTTAGATCCAGAATGACCTAGAATTTATTTTCATTTTTTTCACAAAAGAGTTAATAAGAAGAAGAAGGAAAAGGGGGAAGAGGAAGAGGAGGAAGAGGAGGAGGGGAGGACGAAGAGGAAGAAAAAGAGGCATTGACCATTTTTAAATAAAAATAATAAAAGCCATTGGATGTCACATGGTTATTTTAGGCTCTATATGGTCATTAGTAAACCTAATAGGCACATATATTAACTCATTTACATTTCTCAGTAATAAGCATGGTGTGGTACATATCCTCAGACACCTTATGAATTCTTGCTGAATAAACATTCTCTGTTCTCACTATTATCAGATTATTATTTAGCAGCTCTTTCTTCTGCATAAATAGTATATACATTATATGAGTTCCTAATGATTATAATATCAGTAGTTCGTATAATAACAGTAGTTTAAAATCCTGAACTGTGCTGTTATCTTGTTACCAAAGAATAGATCTGTTTAATATTGAGAGAATCTAGTTATAAGACCAGCATAAATTTTGTCCACCTCTGCCCTAGCTAGAACAACCCAGTGAAAATTGATCACTGTAAGCAATTGTTTGTTCACATCTGTTTTTGTGACTCATGAGCAAGATATTTCCCTGAGCTGATGATAACACATCATAACTGCCCCAAATATGTTGTTCAAAGGAAGTTATATCAGTTTAAGTTTCCACAGAGGATACGCTAATCATATAAATAAATTATACATAGGTACAGGAAATTGCATTAGAGTAAATTGGACAAATTGAGTTTTAAGAGAAGAAAACATAATTCTGCAATTTTAGGAAGGAATAAATATTGACTGAAATGTACATTTTTACAAGTAATGTTATCTCTGATCAGCAACAAACATGTTTCTTGATCAATATTTGTAGTTTGATTCATTTCCTGCCATATAGAACTTGATGGGCTCGTCAATATATCCAAAGGTTTAAAAAATAATAGGAAGTTGGTTTTAAAATAAGATTTTCTTCAAGTTCCTTTCTTGTCTTTCTTTCATAAGTTTCCTAAACATCTACAGAAAAGTGAATGCATCAAGAGGTAGAGTCTATTGAAAGAGAAGAATTTTCTTAAGACATGATTAGGGGAAAAGACAATGGCACTGGCCACTGGTTGAAAAAGACAGCAAAATGTGGACTTTTCTGCAAATGTCAAACCAGCTGAAAGATTGATAGGTTATCAGCAGGGAAAGAGAACAAATCATAAACAGTTTGCCATCAAACAAAAGGTGATAAAGTTTCAAATACCTTCAGTTACCACGTTCCTCCATATTTTTCAAAGATGCTCTCTTGACCATCCAATTCAACAGTCTTTTATCATTCTGCATCAGAAATAAAATGGATGCTATTACATGAGGCCTGGGAGAAGACACCAAAAGGACAATGATGTATCTTTGCCTGCAAAAACTTCATGGCTTAAATAAGAAGACAGACACGTGTGTATCTAATGATGCTGCAGGCTACCATCACATAAACATTATGAAAAATATCAAAGCCAAGGGCAATGAGGCACAGGATAGGAAGACAGCAATTCTGAGTGGTGGGTTCCATAGAGGTTTCCTAGAGAGTAGAAAATGTCTAAGATTTTGACAAGAAATGATTCTAAGATTTTGAATTTCAGGGAAGGATATTTTAGACTCAGAGAATAGCATGGTACTAAGATTGAAAAGTACCTGATCTTGTTATAAAATTGTAAAGATCCTCATCCAGAGGGTATAAGGAAAGAGTAGGAAGTAGACCTAAATGTTTGGAAATGCCTTTGAGATCTTTGAATGTAATTTTTTGACGATAAGATCTTATTTTCTTATTAAACAGAAAGCCAGAATGGGGGTCAGGGGACAATGAGTTCAGGACCATCAAGGTCACAACATCTGTGCTTGTATAGCTTTGCTTTTGTTTGCAAATCCTAAAAGTACAGTATAGAGAGGCAATAAATACAAGGTCAGCAAAAGAGGAAAAATTACATATGGACTTCTAGGTATATGTCCAGTCCCCTTTCCAAAGGGGGCTATGGTTCTCAGTGATCTTTTCAGATAGTTCAGGATGAACTTTTGAGGGCAAAACATAAACCTAATTAAGAAGCAATGGTTTTCAGAAGCTGTCTCCAAGCCCTGAACCAGACATATGCCAAGGTCCTATCATCTCATCGGTGAGTCAAGACCTGAGATTAGAGTTGCTTTGATAGTAGAAATTCCTTGATCAATATAATGTCTCTTCAAGAATGGGGCTCAGGGCCAACTAATTGGGATTCAAGGGAGAGGCTGACCACTATTGCTATCAACACATTTGGAGTGACCTCTGGATCCCACAAGCACAGACATCTCTGCTCGGAACAAAAGGCAAGAGTGGAGACTCACTTGGAAGTCAGGCTGTAAAAAACCATATCGATTCCTATAGGAATACAAAAGTCAACATCAGCAGAGACAATACAAAAAAGAAAACAGAGCTACATGGGAATATTCTTTAAGACAGCCCTAACAGATCCAGCTCAGGTGGGGTGATCTCAGGGCATAAGTGACAAACCTCCGAGGCAGAGATGGTTCCATATGTGAGCAGTGGGCTGAAGACAAACAAAGCCCAGATGGAGAATTTTACAACAGCTGTCCACATTATGTTGGGTTTGAACCCAACCTGACATGCACAGCTGAAGAACTGCTTGCTGGAACAGGGCACTATTTTCTACAACCATAGTTTCCTAATACTAGCACTATTAAATCATTCAGAACTGGTGAAGCCCAATAGGTCAGTACTAAGAGATGATTGTGAAAGGAAATAATGAGGAGAAGGGAAGAGCTGCAGGGAATTTCAGTAGAAAGAGCCTTCTTTTCAGTTGGAACTTCTTGGTCCATACACCTTCTCAAAATAAATGCTCTTTGTGTCAAAATGTATTGGCTTTTTAGATTGCAAAAGCAAACATATGCATTATTTTAAAATTAGCAAAATGCACACAAAATATATATAATTGAAATAATTGAGAAGATGTCTCACCCAGAGATAAACATGGCAAATATTTGGAGATATTTTCTTTCATCCTTTTAGAATATCTACAATTTCTAGCACATTTGGAACATTGCTGCTGTTGTTCTGCCTTATTTTTGTTAATTTAACAGTGTAATGAGCATTTCTCTTCATCATTAAGTAATCTTCTGAAAAATGAAAATAAAAGCCTAGTTACAAATACTCGAAATAAATAAATAAACAAGACTCAGCTTGCTTTAGCATAACAAAACTGTTTAACCTGAGATGTTATTTTCTTCCTTAAAGGAGTTTGAAAATTCTTGTCTCACCTCTACCATTCAACTAACCCTTCATTCTAAGGAAACTTGCTGATGGACTTTCTGACAGCTTCTCCCCACCTCACTTGGCCAAGCAGTCAATCAACCATCCTTCGTGCCATGTCTGTACCTTGCACATCCCTCAATTAGAACGTTGCCTTCATGACTTAGGCACTGTGCGAAGAGCTTTCTTAACATCTGCTATCTCATTTCTTTCTCATCACAATCCTAGTGTTGTGATGCATTAGTCTCCAAATTTTATACATAAAGATAGTGAAAATCAGTCTGTTCAAACTGACAAGGTCTCACACCTCTCAGAGACGGAGACATAATCCAAACTCTGGGTTAATTATGGCAAAGACTCTATCCTTCATAGCTTCCATGCAGTAGTGTACATCTTAAACTGAATCACATATATAAGTTTAGAATTTCTGTTTAAGAAAAATATCATGTTCTGATTATTATCAACATATTTCAAAATACCCTAAAATTTAGTGATTTAAAAAAACATTTTTCAAAAAATATCTCTAGCCTGAGCAACTTAGCAAGGCCCTTAGCAAGGCCCTTAGCAAGGCCCTTAGCAACTTCATCTTGTCTCAAACTAAAAACTTTTTAAAAAGGGCTTGGGGTGTGACTCGGTGGTTAAGCATGTCTGGGTTTAATCCCTAGCACCGCCCCCCAAAAAATCATGATTTTTGTGGGTCAAGAATTAAAGAAAGCTTTAACTAGATTATTTTTCTTTATTTCTTATTTTTTTTTAACTGGAGATTGAACCCAGGGGAGCTCTACCATGGAATCATATTTCCAATCATTTTTATGTTTTTATTTTGAGATAGGCTATCACTAAGTTTCTTAGGGACTCTTTAAACTGCTGAGGCTGACCTCAAACTTGCAATCCTGTTGCCTCAGTCTCCCAAGTCTCTGGGATTACTGGCATGTTCCACCACATCCAGCTTAACTGGATTATTTTTCTATTCCATGTTGCATAGACTGTACTTATTTAGTAGCATTAAGCAAAGGCCAAGCCAAGAAATCTTTAAAATGTCTCTTGTCTGGGTAGAGATTGTTGGTGGGCTGTGTTTAGCTGGGGCTGATGATCAGAGCAGCTTCATGAGGCCTTTCCGTGGTTCAGAGCAATCAGATATCTAACATAAAGGCTCAGAACTCCCAGAAGAGTGTTTTATGACACAGAAAGTAGAAGCTGCCAGTTTAGTAAGTCTTTCACCAAGAAACTGCACATCTATTCTGTTGGTAAAAAGAGTCCCAGATTGAAAATGAAGGGACATAGACTATATTTATATATAGGAGTGGTCAGCCATGTTTAATTTGTCACATAATAGAACCAACTGGTGATAAATTTGGAGAAATTATTATTGTTGTTATCATCATCAGCATCATCATCATCATCTTGCACTTTGGAGGAACCAAACCCAGGTACATGCATATCCTAGCCAAGTACTTTACCAGTACTGTACAACCATCCCAGAATTAATCACTTCTAAAATCTACAAGGGACTAATTAATATCTCTACAACAACATTGTTCAAAACAACTTTCTATAACAATGGAAACATTATCTGCCCTGCCAAGTATGGTAGCAGTTATGATTTGAAGATGATTTGAGCATTCTCCAAAGATTCATAGATTGAGGGCATTGTCCTCAGTATGACAAAATGGAGATGATGGAACCTTTAAGAAATAAGACCTACTAGAGATCCTTAGGTTATTGGGGTGCTGCTCTTAGAAAGAAATGCTGGTCTTCTGAAGTGAGTTCTGACAGGGAGTGATGCTATAAAAGCCTGAGCCTTTTCCCACCACTGTGACAGCATCACCACAAGGGCCTCACAAGAGTCAAGTTAATGCCTTTTTCTTGCTGTTGAGTCTCCAGATCTGTGAAAAAAAATAAACCTTTTCTCTGTATAAAGTTATCCTGCCTCATGCATTTTATTATAGTAAGGAGCCATATAATAGACACATGTGGCTATTGAGCAGTTGAAATGTGTTCAGTTTGGCTGAGACACTGAATTTTAATTTTATTTAACTTTTAGTTAATTAAATTCACATAATTACAGTGAGTAGTTGCTATTATATTGGACACCATAGCTCTGTCATATTTGTAATATTCTAGCAAGCCCACAATTATAAGACAGGAAACAAAAATAAAAATGACTAAAAGTTATAAACAGGTAATTCACAAAATTGGATACACAGCTGGCTATCAAACATATGGAAGGCTATTCTAACTCAAATATAATCAATGGAAGACAAATTAAAATGATGAGATAATTCACAACAAAACATAGAATGTTGGGTAATACCAACAGCTGGCATAGAGAAAGGAGTTCCTCTTTGCACAATTGGTTCCAAAAGAAAGTGGGACAGCTATTTCTTATAGTGATCTTGAATACTTGCTTCAATTACCTAAAGGTATAATCTATGGTTAATATAATGTCTAGGACATAAGAAAGGATATTTATGATATCAGGGAGGTGGGAATAAGTATCTATAACTAAAGGAAAGTGAAAGTAAAATTATTCAATGAGCATTATGGAACATTACACAGCTACTAGAAGCAATGACAACATAACTACATAAAAGCTAAATGAATGGATCTTAATACAATAATACCAAGTTTAAAAACTAAGAAACATTAGCAATCCTATAACATAATACTTTTTTAAAGAGAGAGTGAGAGACAGAGAGAGAGAGAGAGAGAATTTTTTTAATATTTATTTTTTTAGTTTTTGGCGTACACAACATCTTTGTTTGTATGTGGTGCTGAGGATTGAACCCGGGCCGCATGCATGCCAGGCGAGCGCGCTACTGCTTGAGCCACATTCCCAGCCCCAAAGCATAATATTTTTGAAAAGTAAAATTCCATATACATCAAAGCAACAATATGTATTCTGTAAGTATACATAAAAATGTAAGGATCTTTAAAAAAAACATTTTGATGGTTGCCTAGGAGAGGGAGTAGAGTGAGAATTATTAAAGAGGACAATTGAGGGACAAAGAGAAGAAAATTTTCACCAAAAAGTGTGACAGTTAATAATTATTGTCTACTGTAGCCCTCTGGACTTGAGGTCCACCAAATTTATTTCTGCATCCAAAGGTTTAAACAATACCTTCAATACTTTGTGCATAGTTGTTGCTTGAATAAATATCTTATGGATGGATGAATGGATAAATGGATTGTTTAGGGAATGAATGAATGAATGAATAGTGTTAGGAAACACAGATGGGGATTATAAAAAATGAGGTTAAAATTATTGATGAAAGAGGGATCATGAAGAAACACCTACTGTTATTTTCTGTGGTTCTCTTTTCCCTTGTTACTCCAATGTCCAGGACCTTCTGACATATCCCCAACTACCAGTTTTATTCACTTAGACAAAAACGGGAGGAAGATGGCTCAGAGGGAATCTCAGAGACTGGGAAGGCATCTACCTGAAAGATAGGAAAGTTTTGAGATAATAGAGCAAATACACTCATAGCATCAATATAAACTCTTTCACCTGTCTGGTAAGCAGAAGAATAATCCCCCCAAAGATATCAGGTCCACTTATCCATTAATCAGATTCAAAATTTAAGATGTTTACTGGTTTGAATTTGGAACATCTTTAGATACCTTCACTATTCTCACTCTGAACCAAGAGAAATATAGTTCCCTCTATCACTTCTACAGATTCTCCTTACGCAGTTCTTAATTCTAATGCAAAATATGACTCTTTCCTCAGGGCCAGTAGTACGAGAATTACATAACGTTTTAATGAGTTTGCAGCTCCTGCAGACAATCTTCCCTTTATCCCTTATAGAACTCCCAAAGTAGGACATTAAAGCACAAAATAATCACACTACATCACATACAGTTACAGAAAAGTTGCTCTTTTCCAAACTCTACTTTTCTCTCTTTAGTCTCTGGTTCTCAGCCTTGACACATATCAAGATTCATCTTTGCTGTTCTAAAGTCTACTGACGTTTGAGTCCCACCCCCAGAGATTCTGACTTAATTGGTCTGAAGTGGAGCCTGGGCAGAGGGAGTTTTAAACCTCTCCAGAGTGATTCTCACTTTCAGTCAAGGTTGAGGATCACTGTTCCATTCTCTCTTTCTTGAGAAAAGAGGGGCTATGCTATCAATGCAATATACTTAAAAACAGGAACCACTCACTGTTTTTTCTAGAAATGCTTCATTTAAATCTAATTCTATTTTAGAGGTGAACAGCATCAAACTCATCAAAGTATATGCAAACACCAAGTAGAAACAGGATAAAGGGATACTCCCGACACTCCTAGTGATACCATCACCATTACTGGGCAGCCTGATAGATGACAGACACTCGTGAGTCATAAGAACATGAGGTTGGAGGTATGGTTCTGTGGACTGGGCCTAAAAAAAGCAACTTACCCGCAGCCCTACTTGGCTTAAGTCAGTAGGCTATGCTACATTCCTTGGCAAAAAAACTCATCCACAGAAGAAGTGCAGGTCCTCCCTGCCAATAAGAACACAAATCACCCTTAAGGGAGGTACTTTTGTGACCTTTACATAGACCAGATTCCAGTAAAGTCTTCCAACCATAAAATATGTAAAAACAAATTCTAATCAGAATCAGTCAGCATGGGCCAAGGTGACTGAGAATTACCTAGGATATTTAGTATGCCATTTATAATAATAAAAATCTCCCCTCCAGGAAGTAAGATCATGTACAGTGGGAACTTAAAAGCCTGATACAATCCTGCTGTCAGTCAAAAGTCAAGAAGTGGACCTTGATTCCTTGACCTGGAATCCCCAATAAAACAGAAGAGCAGAAGGGATGTGCTATCCCTCTCCTCTCTGAGAGGACCTACATTCTCCCTTTCTTCCTTGAGCATTTCTCCCCTTTTCTATTCCTTCTAAAAAAAACTCATACCAGCTATCCTGCGCAACTCATCTGAGATCTTTCTAGCACAATTGCAAAGAATGGGTGACTGAGGACCTCTGCATGGCTTTGACTCTGCAGATGGCCTTGCTTTGCAACAAGCCAGCTTCACAGACAAATTCTTGACCTGCACAGTGATACTGAGTATCCAACCCCAACAGACTGATCCAGTTAAGACTCCTTGCTCTACAGTAAACCCACCTCCCTTTCTCCCAAGCCAACACCTGTGGCAGCACCACAGCCTGGAATTTCAGAAGGGAAAACAGCTTGCTCCCAAGTTTTAGTTTTGTGGCACCTCTGACTTAAATACATTTACAAGGGTTGTGAAGCTTAACATCTACATTTCCCTCCTACATTTTAATTTCCTGCCTCTCTACACTATTTATGTTCACCTGTTACTCAATTAGCACCCCAGTAAGCCAGACTCCCATCGCTGTTTTACCCTAGCAATTAACCCTCTCCAGCACCCCCCTCTGAAAAGGCTCCTGATTAAAATAAACTGCTCAATTATTCACTGAACAACGGGAAGCATGCCACAGTAGACCAGGAGGAGAACAATTTATTTTTTTCCTTAGTTTTCTAAATGTGGCCAATATTGGCTGAGAAGAAAGATTTTCCTGGAATAATCTAGAGGACTTGGTTGAGATTTATGGTAAGGGTACAAATTTATAAAATGTCAGTACCTATTTACTAGTTTTAAGATGGTCAGCATCTTTAGTTTGAAGAAAATGCCAAGACAAAGAAGGAAATTCAGTGGTTTTCTTTTTTCGTTTTAATTTGATAAACTGCTGACATAAATTTCTCATTAATGAACACAGTGATATATAGGGAAGATGTAAAGAGAAAAGGAGGAAAGAAGGAAATAAAAGAGAGGGAACTAAAGGGGAATGAAGAATATTGAAGACTGAGTCACCCAATATCTTTAAGGGGTGGAATTCCTGTTTAAGTAACATTTCTATACAACTGAAAGATATTTTGCCTACTATTCGAAGCTTTCCTATTATTAGCAACATAATATATTCAATAAAGAAACATTAATTCCACAGAACTTTTTCTGAAAATGTATTAAATAACCTCACAATCTTAAGGGGCTAAAATGTATGAATTATCAAGAGAAACAATTACTTCAAGGCTTAAGGTAGGGAATAATATCAAGTTGATCATGTCTGTGCATTTCTGTGGTTCACATTAATAACATGTAAAACTTAGGCTTGGTTCGAGAAGAAAGGACAACACAATTTTCTAGAAGGGTACACACCTATATAAAATAATAAAGTGGGTCATAAAAATATTTGCACATGCTCTATAGAACTGCATATAATTGCTTACCTATCCTATATGTAATTTAATGGGGAAAATCACTTTTTAATCTAGACTGCAATTTGCTGATCATTTTCTATTCTATTTTTCATTACCCACATGTTATTTGCAAGACAAGTAGCCTACAATGAAAAATAAATAAGACACACACGACCACAGAAGACTATATAGGCAAGTGGACTAAGAAACAATCAAGAGGGTCACCTTAATTTTACCAGGAAAGAAAATTCATTAAATGGCACCATTTGGGGTTCAAGATTCCCTTCCAAGCAACTGAGGCAGAAGGTACTTTCAAGAATCTCACTCTGAAAATGCAGTCCTCTGGTCCTCTCCTTTCATGGATGAAATTTTTCCATTGCAGGAAACTGCAAAATCGAGACATCTTAAAAGACTGCTGGAATTTGAGTTTCCTCTGTCATGGATAGAATCATCCTTTTTTTTCAGGACCTTTATTAACTGAAATTCTAATCCTGCCTAAACTTGAATGAGAAAAACAAACAAACAAACAAACAAACAAACAATTGAAAGACCCTCCTGCATCCAGAATGCATAAACCCTGGATAAGTATTTGCAGACAAGGAGTTGCCTGCCAGGGGCTCATAGCTGTGACTTTCCTGATGAAAACCTAAAGCAGCTTGCAAGCTGCAGTGTCCAGGAGCAGAGAAAAGCAGTCACGGCTCCCTATGAAATTTTAACAATTCATTAACGGGAAAAGGCTGCATAAAGGGATGGGGGATCAGAAGCAGCTCAGCAGCATCAAATTCTGAGAGAATGAAGGGACCAAGAAAAGGGAGATGTGGAAATTCAGACGGAGGAGAAAAGGGAAAAGAAAGAGAAGGTAGATTTGATAGAAATAGGAACAAAGAGAGGAGAGAGACAGGAAGGCAAAAAGAGTAGGAGAGATTAGAGGACCAGGGAAAGGAGAGAAAGGATTTGAATAAAATTCAAATCTCTAATCTGGTTTTACTTTTAATCTTCTTTCTAGAGGAGGGTATGAATGTAAGATGCTTATTGTTCCGCATTTTTTTTTTTCCTGAGTGCCCCTAACTGACCAAACCATGTGTTAAAAACAGTTTCCCTCCTGGAAGGGGATTATGCCCTTTGACTTTCAAAAGACATCTCTCCCCTCCCCAACATCAATAAGGCTGGATGGTGGTGTAGGAGCTGGTGTGGAGCGCAGCGGGGCGTCTGCAGAGCCTGGAAATTTCACTCAAGTCAGCCCGGCAGGCGCAGGGCGCGCATTGTGCATTGTTTTCTTCAACTCCCTTATCTCGGACAGTGTCGACGCATTTGTTTGTAAATATCCATGTTCTGTAATGTGCCCATGTAAATAAATAAGTTTAAATATAATTTCCAAATGAACAACATGAGAAAAAAAAATGGTCGATTTTTGAGTATGTCAAATAATGACTGCAAACAAGGTGTTTTTGCAACCGCCGGCCGCTGGGTCCATCCCTGAGGCCACCCTGCCATCTAGTGGGGCGCTGCCCGAACTCCTTCTCCAGCCTCCGTCGGCCTCATTTACCCTCACAGCTGGAGACAGGGAAGTGTATTCTCCTAAATGTGTTAACTTAGCAGTGCTATACACTAGAAACAAATTAATATATAATTCTTCTGTGTCTTAAGGTCATTACTGTCGAAGCATAAATTAATAGAGCTATTCCAGTTAATTCATTTTGGCGTTTGCTTCTGCATGTCTGAGCGCATATGTGAAAATAGGACTCCCCTCCTCGCCCAGGGGGGAGAAGGAAGAAGGCCTAAAAGTAGCTTAGCCAAAAGAGCAGACGCCCTGACCTCAAAGCGAAGCCAGAGTGATGCCCTTCAGGTGGAGGCGGCTGCTTCTCCCTCTGCCTTCCTGGGAGTCTGGCTGAATGAATTCTCATAAAGGCCAAAAGGAAATAGGAGGGGGTGGCAGACACTCTGGGGGGCCTAGAGGAAGGTCAGGGGAAAAGAGTCCTCTTAAGGCAGTGTTTTATACACGTTGTTCAGGGTTCTGAGGGACTGAGTGTCCTGTCATAGGGAAAGGAGACCTGCTTTATCTGACTCGGAAATAGCATGTCTCTGTCAGGTCTGACCAGGCTGGGTGTGCAAGACACTGTGAGGATGGTCACCTACCTTCAACCCCAGGGTGGCTGTCACTATATCACCACCCCCAGTGTGTGGGGGGGTGTGTGGCTTTCCAGCCATCCACACAGGTCTGCAGCAGTGCTC